TTTGCATATTCAGACCCCTCACAATAACTCGTTTCTACGCTTCGCGTATCCACGAGTTAAAAACTGAATCTCGTTAAAGCATGCGTCAGCATTGATATTATTGATTTGGCAAGATTGGATCTATGAAGTGCAATAAGTGACATATTTAAGAACGAAGGACTAAATTGATGGTGTCAGCATTTTTGTTTTTCGTAGTTTTTTTCTTAATTCTCTATTCTTTTTCTTTTTCGTAGTTTTTTTTCTTCTTCTTTCTTTCTTTCTTTCTTTCTTTTTTGAAAACAAGACTGAGAAAAAAATTTCTGTGCAGAAATTCTCAAGCTGTTTTTTTAAATCTGATTTTATTGAACTTCAATTTGTCAGTGAGAAATTAGGAGAAAGTTGATGCCAAAGTTTAGTACTTCTTTGCATCTAACAATTTAACTAAAGTCAAAACTATTTCCCTGGCTATAACACACTCTACAAAATTACTCGATTCTGATTGGACAGGAGGAGTACGATTAAATCCCAAATTGCACTCTGCAGAGTCCCAATTAAGTTGCTAAATTTTGTTGAATGTCGTACAAACAAAAAATCGCGCAAACTTCTCGTACAATTCGGAATTTATAGATACTCGTGATGTTTTGAAAGTTCTAAAATTGAACTTGCCTAAAGGCTCGTCCAATTTTGAAAAGTTTCAAAGCATTTCTTGTACCTATAACTTCCGAATTTTGCTGGCAAATGATTACTATTTTCTATTCAGCCTTTAGTTCTTGAATATCCTAGTAAGAAAAAGCAATATTTCAGAGAAGCTTCTCTGATTTTTGTATAATTTACTAAAGTATACGAAAAGAATAACTAGAAGTTTTTTGTGTCATTCTTTTCGTGTATAAACTTTTGGCTCAAAGAAACATATTCACATAATTTGCAGTCAGATTAAGATAACTGTTAAAGTATTTTTGGGAATAAGTAGTCTATTGTTTCATTCATCATTATCCTCTATCCCTGTGTGAGATGTAGGGCTGACACCAAGGACTTCTTCTGGTTATCCTTTGTGTTAGTTTCCATATCAATAAATAATAATATGTGATGGATGGGGTTGCTGGCCCCATACACATTGCCATAGCCCTGTTAACCTGGCTTTATCCATTAACACCTCCCAAGACGAGGGCGTAGGTATAGACTTTAGGTTGTTTTATTGGTAGATGTAAGATTATATGTAAGAAAGGAAATGCAGTCATAACATAATTAAGAGATACTGTTCTTCATTAAAGAAATGTATGTTTGAGGGTAAATGATTTCCATTTCGTACTCACCAATATATCATAAAAATATTTTAATATTAATTCTGAGGTGCTTTAGATTGTGCGACCTGTGCCAGATTTAGAACAATAACTTAATTTTGAATTTTAAAACAATAAAGGAAATGTTTGCATTACATAATACTTTATACCTTCGCTAGACTGTGTTGCCGACTCTAGAGCAGTTAACGAGGGAGGAGCAAGAGGGAAAAAGAGTGCTTCCTTCTCAAGGATAGCCAGTCAATTCGCCCACGGACCAACTCGCCCACGCCAATTCGCCCACGCATAAAATCATCAATCATGCGTTTGCCAACTCGCCCACGCCAATTCGCCCACGTGTGGAATCGCTTTAAGACTAATCTAATAACATTTTCCGAATTTAATCACATTAAGACTAAATTAAAGTAGAATCACTTTAAGAAATATGTTACCATACATTAAGACTAAATTAAAGTAGTTCGTGATTTACCAACCTTAGACTACTTCAAAACGCGAACTTTTTATACTGACGCCATAACTCACGAAACAACTTATAAACTGGAAACCAGACTTTAAACTGTAAACCTTCTCAAGCCCCCTCGACCACAGAGCTTGGATACACAGTCAAAACTGGCCACTTACGTCTGTACATTATTTCCCCCCTCATGTTAATGATAATATTGATAACAATAATAGTAATGATAATAATAATATCAATAAATTGAATAAATTGAGTAGCAGTAATAATGATCATGATAATATGGATACCAATAATAATAGTAATAATAACATTGTTATTTAATAATAAAAGCAATCATGATATTGTTAATTGATACCAGTAACAATTGTGGTAATAATATAATAATGATATTGATAATATTAATCCTTATTATAATGATTTCACAAATTCAGCAAGAATACTGGTTCTCAATGTAGCCCACAGGTTGGCTTTTACAGACGAAGAAACAAAGAACCCCCCAAAAAACACTTATGGCCATGAAGAAAACAAATTGTATTCACATGTGACGTCCTAAGGAATCGAACCCGCGAACCGACATGTAGGATATGGAGAAAGTTTTACCCCTAAACTGACCATCAGACACCTAACGCTGGAAATCCTCGAAAAGTAAACCAAGCTGTTTCAACACCTGTGAAACTTTCTTCTCTTGCAAAGTTTTTAAACCACTTTCAACGTTGAATTTCCCAGTAGCAAGCAAAACAGCCAAAGGAACGACTTTGTCTTGGCGTTCACCTTCAAAAACATGACTTGAAGTGGCCACTTTCCTTATTTCCTCTGGGATTACATCTTTTCTATAGATGGCTTTCAGTAGTGCATTCATAGCTTCTTGCTTCGTCACGCCTGTAATATTAGACACGATACCTGCCGCTCTGTAGAACAATTTATCGTTACTGACTTTTAAATCAATCATGTAACCTTTGAGTACTTTTCCATGAAGTACATGCGCGCCGGTTGATATGGCATTCAGAAGCCACTTCAAGGAAAGTTCTTCCAAGCACTCCTTGAAGACATCCTCGAGGACTTGCGAAGACTCAACAAAACAGCCATTTGCGTTTGCCTTGCATTTCCCATCGTGTATTCGAATCGAGACGTCGAAACACTCTTCAAAATCTGCCCCATCTGATGGCCCGTCGGTTTTTGATGTTATCCCGATCAACTTTGCACCCTTTAGAGAAACCTGCCTTAGAAGTTCGTCAGCTTGTTTTAAGTACTTTGGACTCGAGCATATCGCAATGACTGTGTCATTCTCCGACACACTCGGCAAGACAGTGTTCGCAAATTCATGTAAAGAAATTTTCAGCTTGGATCCCTTGAATTCAAGAACACCGTCTCTGTTCTTCAAGTACTCGAACCCGCCATCCACAAAAGCACGCACATCGTCAAAAGAAGCACTGAATGTCGGCACACATTCCGAAGCATCGACAAGTGCAATGAAGCTGGTAGGACCCCAGCCTAGGTAATAAATATGACCATTTAAAGAAAGGCTCTTTCCTGCAAGAGATAAAGCTGAAGACATCTCTTTTATTTGTAAGTACGTGTGCCTGTGAACTTCTTTATAGTGTGACAATATTGTAGTCGTGCTAGGAGAATGCCCTGGATAATAAGATCGATAGTGCGCATTCAGAAGAGCTGTCTCGAGAAGAATTTTAGTGGTGCTTCCTCCTTTCATGCGGGATGATCCAGTGATGGCTTCTGGTCCGACAATAGGATTTAGAATAATAGCTGTCTTGTGACCTAAAAGATAGTAAAAGGGTTAAGTGAACCTATGTGATCACGACCCAATTGCGCAGATTCTTGAACGGTTTTTTATTGGACAGGAACTTTGAATTTCGCAACATTAGTAAAACTTCCAAGTTTTGTAAATATTTTCCCCAATACAAAAATATATTAATTTTTGAAACATTATGTTGTGAAGGAGGTCACGTGCATTGCTCTGTAAAACTTTATTAATATTTAAAAAAGAAAAAGAAAAATGTATATCGCAATCTATACGAAAATTCGCTGTTCTATTTCACGTACTGGCATAGATATATCGAAAATGAGAACTTTGACTTTTTTCATGAATTTCTTTTTCCAAAGTCAAGCTAGTATACGATATACTTACTGCGCAATCTGTTAGCAACATCAAAGAAAGTTTTGGACCAGTCTTGAATGGGCGACTTGCGTGCCAAATCGATAGGGTTAAACCCGATTAGAACGGGAGTAAAGGTGTCGGGCCTGTCCATGCAGAAATCGAGCTGGCCAGCAATGTACGGTGCTGATAGTCCACAAGTTATCCCAATATAGACAACTTGCTTTTTCTCTTTGGCTAAATTCATCAGATCAATCTGGCCCTGTCTCCATGAGTCTTCTGGCGCTTCAACTGAAGTAAAAAGAGCTAGATCTCCGCCAGCAATCAGATACTCATAAGGGCCGGAAGAGCGGTGTTCGTCCATACCCTGTTCCTTGGCGAGGGAGTTGAACCTTTTAGACAGAGAAAATCCGATGCGTCCAGACGTACCACAGCCACTAAACACTACACAGCTGTCCAGAGGATCTTCAAGCACAGCTTGCACTCTTTTACCAAGGTTTTCTAAAGAATGTAAGGTGTCAGCATCGTACAGGGATGGGTAGTTTCTCCAACCCGAAAATATATCCGCATCACATTGCCGCAAAAGTCGCACGATCTCGGTAGAGTCACACTGATCGATATCTACCGTAGTTTCGTTTGAAAGTTCTGTGATTGGTGTATTCATTGGACCAGCACTATACATTCTAACACTTATCTAGAAATTTCATGACTGCTTTATATTTATACGCGATGTATCAAAGAAAGAGAGCAACAAAAATTAGCAGGCGTTCCTGGTCGGGTTTTGGGCCCGAGCTCTACAAGCTAACGTTTATTTGATCAAACTGCTGTACTTGTGGCAAGAAAATAAAATAAATTCTTAATGAAGTATATAATTCTAAATTAGAATTTAACAGAACATTTAGAATCATTGATATTTAAAAACAATTAGAAATTTTAATGTAAGGGTGGGTTGCCTGTGTGGTAAGTATCCGTGGGAGACTAAGTTATATTACCCAGAATCCCCTGCACGCTCACTACTCTTGTCGGCCATCTTGGATAAGAACAGGTTGTTGTATTTGTACTTTAGGTAGAATTTCTTGCATTATGGCTGCAAGAAGAATAGGCCAGTACATCCCAGATTGGGTCAAAATAAGTGCACGTGTACCTACAGAAGCTAGAGGTGATATGGGTCGTTTTAGAGCCGCTTATGAGTCCCTCAAAACGAGGTAAAATTTTGGAGATTTGCACCATGCAGTTTAAGCCAGCTACCGGCAACTTGTGAATCTTTATACTCACAGTAATTGTTTGAGGATCTAATTAGTTTGTATATGTACACACTCATGCCATAGCTGTCTGTGCTTCTTCTATGGTTACTGATTCTGACCCTTTTTCAGCAAATGTAGGACAACATCATCGTCTCGCATGACACATGCTTACTATAATCTATGTTTATATCGACAGCCTGGAATCTGTCCCTGCTAAGCCAGAAACCATTGACTGGGAATTTTATGGCAAGAACGTGTCTAAACCTGGATTAGTGTCAAGCTTCCAGAAAGCTGTAAGCCTTTCCTTGCCTTAACAATTTAGCTATACTTAGTTTAATACAGTGGATGTGATAAGCAATGTTTATTCTAGCTCTTTGATTGGTGAACAGTGCAATACCATGTCCAATAAGAGTGCAAAGATATACTGGCACCATGTTTATGGCACATCCATCCAAGCATTAGACTGTACACTTATATCTATTCTGCTGATGCAACAGATATCCATGTGGATATATTTTACGTGAAAAGGAATCAACACCAATCTACATTGTTTTCAAAGTTCATCATTAATTTTGTGAAATGTCTTGTTTTGGTTCCCTACCACCATTACCACCACCCCTTAACCCCCTCCCTCCCCACCCCCATACAAACACCCAAATCTTATAGCAGGACACATGAAATTAGAAAGAAAGAATAAATTTAATATATGAAATATGTTTTATCATAATTTTTGTTTTTATTCCATAGTTAATTCTAATATTTTTATATGCTTTAGTATGAAGCTGTGACAGTACCATATCCAAAGGACACCAAGTCTGATCTGATTGCTAAGAGAGAGAAGGAAATGGTTAGTATAGTAGCATCTTCGGGGTTCCCAGGGATCAGGGAAAAGTCAGGGAAATATTGACCTCCATATCCAAAGTTAAAAATAACAGCTGCTCAATGGACTATTCCTCTTGATTTGCCTGATTAGCATATCCCCCGCCAATCAGTTTAATGGCAATCACACTCTTTTGATTGACAGGAAACAATGTGCGAACAGCTGAAAAAGGAATCATTTTCAAGAATCAAGGAATATGAAGCAGAGGTATTGTAATTTGTTCAATTTTATTATTCTTATTATTTATTCTTATTATTATTTATTATCTCTCCACTTTAATAATTTTGCTTCAGTTATTTAATTGCAAATATTGTCTGGTTTTTTGCCTTCTGTCAGCTAAAAAAAGTAACTTTCTTATCAGCATGAATTGATTGACATCTCATTTAATTATATATTTCTTATGTTTCAGCTTGCTCTGGTTAAATCTCAAAAGCCATTTGAAGCTATGACTGTAAGTTCAAAATAATAATAATAAATATTTTATTTTGAAGATAAAATTGAATCCTAAAATGTTCATATGTTTAGAGTGAAGTCATTAAACCTGTGAAATAAATATTAGACTAATACACATTAGTAGACCTTAATTACATTGTTTTCTT